CTACAGGGGAGTCTCCACCTGCCACCTGGGTGTATGTGTGGGGGGGTGGGGGGGCGCTGCCTGTGGTGCCCGAGTGCCTGCCCGCGGCCTGTCTATCTCTCCTGGCGGGTGGGTGGTCAGGGGGATGGGGTCTCTCCGTTACAAAGGGCTTTTGTGCTGCATTGTATCGCCTGCTCTGCTGAGCACCCCGAGGGCCAGGTGGCGGCATTGTTGTTGTTGTTGCTGTTCCCATCTTACTGATGGACACACTGAGGCTCAGGAAGGGGAAACTGAGGCTAGGAAGGTGCAGGGCCGGGGCTTGAACATAAGCCTCGGCTCCAGACCTTTTTTTCCGGCTCCAGATGTTGAGAGAGTTTCCCAGACGTACGGGGAAGACGGTGCTGTTGGGACTGGGTTGTCCCAGGCCCCATGGTGCGGTGGCAGCTGGCTGACACCCAGCAAGGGGTGCGGTCAGGGGCACGCTGGGTCCCTCGGGGTGGTGGGCGCTTCTCAGGCAGGGGGTGGCGTCTCCCACCAGCACTGCTGTGTGACGTTGCTGCCTCCCGATCAGTGCCCCCCCGGCCCCCGCCCCTTGGGGACAGGTTTGGGGCTGAGACCGGGACCTGCGGGCCCCTGTCTGTTATTCTCTGTGTCCCCTCTGCTTCTCTGCCTCTCTCCTCCCTGCCTTCCACCCCAGGCTGTCACCTGTTGGACTGGTGTCAAGGTCAGGGCCCGCTGGCGTGTGGGGCACGGAGCCCCCCAGGGGCGCGGGTGGGGGACGGTCCCCAGGGCAGCCCAGTTCCCACTCTGCAGGCGGCAGTTCTCAGTGACCCCGGGCTGTGCGTGTGCTCTGAGCGTCTCCATCAGCCCCGGAGGGTCAGAGGCAGGGCTGTGAGCGCCCGTTTCCGGGGGACAGCAGGGCCCGCAGCGAGCTCCTGGCACCCCATGCCGCGCCGTTTCCACGGCTCCAGGCATTGATGTCTCTTGTTCTGATTGTCCTGGGACAGGGACACCCATGAGGTCAGAGATTTGTGGTGATGATGACGCCACACCCTCCACCCAGGAAAGTCGCCTTAGGTTGGAGGTGGCGTTTCCCGCCTCCTGAGCCCCTCGGGGCTCTGCCTCCTGCCTGTGGGATCCTCTCTGGTTCCCAGAACCTGGCAGGAGAGGAGGTGGGGCTAAGCCAGGCCCCCCGCTGTCCCAGGAGCTCCCAGACACGGCCCAGGGGTGTCACCTCCTGCCAAGCTGTGTGCTCACCCGCCCACAGAGGGCCACCCCAGGGCCCGGGCAGGCCAGGAATGGTGACGTGTGTGCGGGGAAGTGGCTGAGGAGCCGGCCAGGCCACACCCTCTCCGTGTCCTCCCTGGGCTCTAAATATAGGCCACAGAAGGCAGCCCCACGGGGTGACCTCTGCCCTCCTCCCCCACAGCCGGGCCTGGGTACCGGCCTCTGGTCCTCGCTGCGCCACAGCATCCTCCGTGGCCTTGGCCCAGCGCAGGCTGGAGGAGATGATGGCCAAGGCCCGCGCTCACCCAGACATGGCCTTGAGCCCAGTCTTGCTCTGAGCTGCCCCGGGAGTCCCACGACACACCTGTCAGGTACCGTCAGGGGCGGGTGGGGGTGGGAAGTGTCCCCAGGCCAAGGTCGATGCTGGAAACCCTGCCGTTCTGAGCGAGTTCTGAGCGAGCCTGGCTGGGCGTGGCCAGGGACCCAGAGGCGCGGCCAGGGCCTCCCCTGGCAAGTGGTCTGCCCCAGGATGTCTGTGGGCGGGTGGGGGAGCAGGTGGGGGAGCTTTTTAAGGGTCACGACCTCTCTGCTGCCGTGTCAGGGGATGTGGAGGGATGGAAGTGGGAAGAAAAGGGGCCCAGGCTTGGCCTGAGCACACCTTTCCCCTCAACGCGGGGAGGCTGCTCAGGGGGCAGGGAGTGATGGAGCCAGTGGGGCCTGTGGCAAACCCAGGCCTGCCCCGGCTGGAGGGACAGCTGTGGGCCGCTCCTCCCAGCCTCCGCTGCTCACGGAAACACGGACCTTGTGTGGCCAGGTCGCCCGAAGTGGCAGGAGAAGCCAGAAATGTGGGCTTTTATGTGAAATCACCTGACCTTTCACTTTGGCTCAAACATTGAAAAACACTTTGCAAGCCAAACAAAACGCGGGCTGGACTTGGCCTGGGTCTCATCCCGGCGGCCAGTTCGCAGCCGGTGTTCGCGGCACCTGTACCAGGGCCCTGGCCTGTGGACTGGTGTCTGCGGCGCAGCGGGGTGCATGGGGGTTTCTCGGGACCCCCAGGGAGGGGCAGGTGCACCCCCAGGGAAAGGGGGGAGCCTGGGGCAGCTGGGGTCGGGGTGCTGAGCAGGGTGAGGAGGAAAGGAGTGACCCGTTTATCATCGCCCCACACGCCCCACGGTGCTTTGCGCGCTGTTCCTCCCAGCAGCCCCTTTGTGCCAGGTGCCCGGTGGTGCTGTCTTGTTAGTCATGCCCCTTCACACAGAATATGTTTGTTCAGGGTGAGGTGACCTGCTGGGGGCTGGGGTCACACGGTAAGAAGGGGAGGGGCTGGGCTCGGACCCAGCTCAGTGCCTGAACCTGTCTAGGCCACACTGCCCCCCCTGGGAACCAGGGGTGTGTGCATGTTTGTGCATGTGTGCACACAGCTGAGCCGTGAACAGGCTCACCGGGACCCCAGGGGGGAGCCCCAATACCTCTGTAGTGATGACCTGCCCGCGCCTCACCTCCCCGCCTACCGGACCCCTCAAAGCCAGAGCGGAGGCGTGCGGGGCGGCGTCTGTGCCCTGGCGAGCTGCTTGGCCGCCAGGCGCCCTTTCCCAGCTCTGAGCTTGCTTCCCAGGCGCCTCCCTGGGGGAAGGATCAAGGAGCCCCCGGCAGGTGCAGGCTCCCTGGCAGGTTCTGAGAGCTGGGCCGGGAGGAGGCCCGGAGGAGGCACTTCCAGCCAAGGGCAGTGTCCGTCCGTCCCCGCTGGGCTGCTCTGCTCTCTGAGGACGTCCTTCTAATGTCCCCCACCCCCCTCCCCGCCCCAGGGCAGGTCATGGAGCCTTCCTAACCCGCCTCCTAGGGACCCCCACTCCAACCCAGTCTACCCATCTTGCTTAAGAACAGACAAAATCAGCATTGATCACGGGCGTGTGATTATAGAAATGTTCTAGAAATACTGGACTTCAGCGAAGGGAGGGAAAGGAGCCGCGCCGGAATAGGAATAGCGCCCCCGCTTGGCGAGCAGAGGCAGGGCCCTCGGTCACGGTGCGGATGTCATTCTGCACGCCCGGTGAGCATCCGGTTTCTCATGGCTCCATGTGGTTGCGAGGGGCCTGGCAGTCGGCTCGGGGTGTCTGCGTGACTGTTGGCAGGGGTGTACCCCACGTTTCGTTAAGTGTGCTCACACAGAAATCCCTGTGCACCCCCCGGACCGCCACCGGAGGGTGAATTCCTAAGATGGGGTTGCCAAGCCAACAGGCATATCGTTTCTATTTATTTTTTAAAATATATTTTTATTGATTTCAGAGAGGAAGGGAGAAGGATAGAGACAGAAACATCAATGATGAGAGAGAATCATTGATCGGCTGCCTCCTGCACGCCCCCGACTGGGGATCGAGCCCACAGCCTGGCCTGTGCCCTTGACCGGAATCGAACCCGGGACCCTTCAGTCCACAGGCGGAAGCTCTATCCACTGAGCCAAACCGGCCAGGGCGGGCATATCGTTCTTAATGTCCTAATAGAAACTGCCAATTGTACCCCCCACCGTCCCGGGGTGCTCAGGGGGGCGCGCAGAGGATGGGAGTGGCCGGGGCCCCTCTGCCCGTGGACACCTGAGGCTCGGCGCCCGGTGGGTGCGCAGCGTGTGCTTGTGGGGTGTGTAGTGGGGTCCCGCCCTGGTTTTACCGGAGGGAAACGGAGGCTCGTGGGGCGCCCGCGCACGCACTCC